TTTTTTTTTTTTCTTTTACTTCTTTACTCACTTTTTTATTCTGTTATTTTTTGGCTCTTCTTCAGTTCTCATAATGGTTTCATTTCAGTCTGTTCTTGGATGTCTTGTAATTTAGTTTTAGAGGTAGATTTGAGCAGGAATCAGTGAACCTGAAGATAGAACAGTTCAAATGAGGTGTGAGGAACAGAGACAAAGGCCGAAGGAAAAAGCACGGGGCATGAGGGATCTGCAGCAGACCAAGTAGACCACCTGTGGCAATACAGAAAGAGGAAGAGGAGCAGAGGGATTATCTGAAGAAATAATGGCCAAAGCTCCCAGATTTGATGAAAGACATGAACATTCAAGAAGCTCAACAAAGTACATGTAGGAGAAACCTATCAAAATATATTAGAATTAAAACATCAAATGCCAGAGACATTCAAGAGTATTTTGAAAGCAGCAAGAAAAAAGTGGCCCTATGTACAAGGTCTCCTCAGTGGGACTGTCAGCAGATTGCTCATTAGAAATCTGAGAGTACAAAACACTGAGGTGATATATTCAACGTAGTAAAAAACAAAAGCAGCGCTATCAAAACAGAACTGTATATCCAGCAACACTGAAGGAGAAATGGAGACATTGTCAGACAAGGAAATGCTGATGGAGCTTTCTTTCACAGACCTCACCCTGCTTGAAATTCTGACAGGTCTTTCAGGCTGCGATGAAAGGACATCAGTTACCCGAAGCCATATAAAGACAGTTCTCAGGGCCGGGGAGATAGCTCAGTGGCACAAGTGCCTGCCTAGCAAATGCAAGCTCCTGAGTTTGATTCCTGGTACCAAAATCAAAACAAACAAAGAAAGTTCTCTGCTGATGATAAATCTATAGACTGTTGCATTTCTAAAAATAAACAAGAGTAATCAGTTTTGGTTTTGGCCTCACAGTGCAGAATGGTGTGATGTGTGACATCAGTAAGTGAATGGAAATGAGGAAACAGCTGTGGAGGAACAGAGTTTTTGAATGCTATGGAAGTGCAGGTGATAATAAGCTCAGCAGGCTTTGAACTTTAGGATGTTAAATGTAGTCCACGTGATAACCACAAAGATAGCCATAAAATAACAGAAAAGGAAATAAGGAAATTTAAAAGTTGTACTAAAAAAAAATCAACTAAAGACTAGAGACAGAAATACAGAAAATGAAAGATTAAAAAAAAGCTACAAGAGCCGGGTGTGGTGGTACATGCCTGTAATCCCAGCACTCTGGAGGCTGAGGCAGGAGGATTGCTGTGAGTTCAAGGCCAGCCTGGGCTACAAAGTGAGCTCAAGACCAGCCTGAACTGCAGAGCGAGACCCTGCCTCAAAAAGACAAAAAAGAAAAAGAAAAAAAAAAGAAGCAAAATAGCAGGAACAAATTCTTGCTCATCAGTGATTTATATTTAAATGGAATAACTCTCCAATTAAAAGACAGATTTTAGTAGTTAGAACTGCTAGTAGATTAAAAAAACCCAGAAACATGATGCAACAACATGCTGTCTACAAAAGGTGTAACACTAGACACAAATTTTGAAAGTGAGAGGATAGAATAACATGTTTACTGCAAATAATAACCAGAGAATGGCATGGCTATGTAATGCCAGAAAAAAAAATAGTCTT